GCCGGGGGGCGGGGGCTAAAAATACCCGGCGGCGGCGCGGCGATCGCTGGGGCTGCGGGGCTGCGGTGCTGCGGGCCGGGGAGGCCGGGAGGGCCAGGCCGGCCCCCGCTGACCGTCATGCTGACTTTTTTCCTCGTGTCGGGGGGCTCCCTCTGGCTGTTCGCGGGTAAGTCCCCATCTCGTCTTCGTCCTTGACCCCCATCCATCCCTGCAACGTGGAGGGACCTTGGCCTGGGATGGAGATTTTAACATTCGCGTAGCTGCAGACTCCCCAAACCAGGCAGGAAAAGCCGCAGCCCTGCAGACACCCCTGGGCCTCCCAGACACCAGTACCCCGTTACTGCAGGCTCCGGGCCGGGTGTGAAAGGGAGCAAGGTCTGCGGAGATGGGGGCCTTCCTCACTGCGCCTCCAAAAAAAATAAGTACAATAAAAAACACCACCTGCAGGTTTTGCGCCCTTCTCTCCTGGAAGGGACAATCTGCATATAGGGCTAGGCCATGAGCTCACTCTTGCCCTTAGGACCAAATCAGGGAACAGATTTATTGCAATCTTAACCCTTTTCAGGGTATCTGAAACCAAGGATATTGTTCCTGCACCTACTCCTCGCCCCAGAATCCCACAGCAGGTCAGAGACTTAACCAGGACTAACCTGGTGCCAACTGATTCCTGGCCTGGGGTTTTCCTCAAGACCCCTGCCTTCTTGCTCTTCAGAGAGAATGCAAGATTACTGTCAAGTGGGGTTCACCTGACTTCTCAGCTCTGTATAGGGCTTGTGCTCCCACAGCTGCTAGTCCGTTCAGCTCTCCAACACAGGTGTCAGCCCCCATCTGAGTCAAGAAGCTGTGAGTGTCCCCGCTGGACACCTGCCCAGCAACCACCCCTGGCCACACTCGCACCTGGAGTCTTCCCTGTCCGCCCTGTCCGCCCATTCGTCCACCCTGTCTGATACCACTCCCCTCTCTGAGCCTCTGGTTCTTTTGGGAATAATTCCGTACACACATTAGCCAAATAATGTATGTAAAGTGCTTGATCTTTAATTTGACTTTAAAGCTAACCTATTGTGGACAGTGTCTGGTGGAGCTCCCCGATTGAAACAAGCTTGGAAACAGGAGTGTCATCCACTTCTGAAATAGCTTGCCTCCAGAAACCCTATGAAACGATGAAAGTTATGCAAGTGTTCAGGTCTTTTGTACATAGGGTCATCTACAACTTGATGACATATAACAACAACAAAAGCCTATTTAAAACCAAACCCATTGTCTTGAGTGCAATTCACGTCATCCTATAAGACAGAGAACTACCCCATCTGGTTTACAAAACTATAAATCTTGAGAGAAACAGGCTGCCACATCTTTCTCAGTTGGAGGGAGTAGTGGGTTGTAACCACCCACCATTCAGTTAGCATGCACCACCAAAGCACAGGTTCGATGAATGTCAGGTTTTTTGTTGTTTCACATTCAAACAGCAGAAGAGGAAGCAGTAAGATTCTTGTTGAGCCAGGAAAGAAGGGGAGGAAGTAAATTCTTTTAAATTCCTTATCTGAAACTTTGTATGCATTATTTACTGTGCTTTTGAAACTCGATACATTTAGATATCAAAAGACCAAATGCAGTAATATTACCAGAAAATCCTGAAGTATTGATAATGCCATGTCTTTTTTACTTATGTTTAGGGATGCCTTGTCCAACAGATTATTAGCTGGTAGACCAGGGTAAGTTTTAATTTATGAACTAAAGCTAAATGCTTGATACTACCAGACCTTAACAGGGAGTTCGGTGGGCCAGGTGATCACTTTCCCTTCCCCCACTGTTACCCTGAGTCAGACCACAGGGACACCTCCCCTAGACAAGGAAGCCTGGGGAGGCCTCTCTAATCCCCTCCGCTCTCTAAGCTCCTTCTGTCTGCTCATGTCTGAGGACAGCCAGGCAGCCTCTCTGGGCCTGATGTGGACCTGATGTGAACAAGCAAAGTTGAGGCTTGACCAGGGGATAGATTAATCAAAATAATGATGGCAATGACAATAGGAACAGACATAACTCTTTGTCTGGGGGGCTGGTCTCAGGGTCTCTTCTCATTGTCCTTTAGTCTCTGGTGGCTCTACTCAGCCAGACCTCTACAGGCAGCTCTCTGAAGCCTTGGTCTTGCATAGGTTGTGTGGAGGTGGCAGAGGGTCCTTACAAGCCCCCTGATTCAGACTGGACTAACTGTCCTGCTTCCTTGTGGGGTATTTCCCAGAGTGGTCAGGTGTTTCCACGGGGGGCATACTGGGGCTGTACCTCTCCGAGGGGTTGCACAGGGCCTGCAGAGTAGTCAAGCAGGACAGTACTTGGGGAAGGTGGGGGCTGCTAGCTTTTTCACAGAAGCCAGTCAAGGATAAGTATGTGAGTTCACTGGATTGAACACCCCAAATACATGTTAGGGCATTCCTGAGCCATGTGTCCACTTAATTATGGACTTCGTCTGGACTGCTGCTTTTCTTTGGGGACTGAAGGGGCTCTTGTGCTAAAATCTGATTTAGTGAGCACCCAAGAACACATTTTGCCTTTAATCCAGGGTCCTGTCACAATGGCCACAACTCCTAGGCTCAAGTAGAAAAAGAAGACCCCACGGTGATGGCACTCTTTCAGAGAGCTCTGCACTTTTTCCTATCCAGTCTGACCTTAAGGGGTATAGTGAGGCTAGGGCTGCTCTCATGGGGCTACAGGGAGAAGATGACATTGGGGGGGAGGGGGGAGAGGCAGCTGAAAGAGAAGCCAATGCGTGCAGTTCTAAGAAAAGGGCTGCATGCACTTGGCCTCTATGCTGGGGAGACTAGGACTGAGTCTCGGGACAGCCCAGAGCTTGCTTGTAGTTTGAGTAGTAAATAAGGAAACCTGTAAAACAGGTCCAGCATGAGTCAGATGCTGCAGTGGGCCTGGGGAAGCAGGATCTTGGTGCTCTGAGCTCTCAGGGGAAGCAGCAGTTTAAAGCTTCTGCCTGACAAAATAGAAAAAGGCACTCATCTGAGTGAATGAATTTCTGAAAGAGCTCAGTGCCCAGTCTGTATAGTGTCATGTCTGCTCAACCATAGACCTGACCATGGGTGATATCTGAGTGGGCTTCTGCTGAACAGAGAAGCATTTGTCAGAGGCAGGCAGGCCACATTCCAGCTAGAGGAAGCCAGACAGCAGAGGAGTGCAGGGGAAACTAAGGTCTTTGATTGTGCCCGGGTTATAAGAAGGTCTGACAGTCTGGGAATGGTGGGGAAAGAATTCTAGAGGAAGCAGCTCTTTATTCGAAAGACAGGGGAGCCCAGGTTTGGCTGTAGGGACCAAGCTAGGCCAAGAGGAGAAGAGCATAGTCCAGGAGCGCAGTGGGAGGCTGCTGCAATGTCACAGATAAGAATAGATGTGGCCCAAGGAGGGCCTGAGTCAAGGCCAGATCCCTGGAAGAAGGAAAGATTCTGGGAGGAAGGAGGAGTTAGCTCTGGAAGGTCAAGGCTGGGCTGACCATCCACAGTCGGTGTGACAGACATCTGACTGTGCAGATGTGCTGCATAGAGTTTGCACATCCTGACTCAGATGAGCCTTAGTTGGATCCCCTACACAGGGTTTTTGTTAGAACTGATGTGAGGACTGTAACCACCCCATGGATCCCAAGAAAGCATTTAAGGACCTGGACAGATGGTGGTGCTCCAGGAGGAACAGGTAGCTCTCTGGCCTGCTGGGGGTACGCCTTACAATTGGAAACCTGGATTCGAACAGGATGCACCACCACTTGAGAGTCTGATACCCACCTCTCGACATCTCACAGTTTTGCAGTCCATGTAGTAGGATATAAGGGGGTTCCTAGCAGAGCACACAGACAGCAGGGGGCGCCAGAACCTGGTCATCTGCTTTTACGCTCATTCTGGTGTTTCTAAACTGCTCGGTTGGTCTTCACAAGGTCAACTTTAGATCATCTCAGCCTCAGATAGGGGCCAGGACCACGCAGCAGGCCAGATGAGTGAGCACGAAGCTCTGGCTTCTGGTTTGTTTACAAGTTGCAGGCTTTTGCAGAACAGAAACAACTATGTATCCAGTCAACACCTAGTTAAAAATTACTCATAGCTGAGCCTTTATAGGTTTACTAGCTATAAATTGCAGGGGAAGAGACTGCCTGTGGTTCTGGGAGATTTCAAGCCTCCAGAGAGGTTCAGGCATTGGTGTGCTTAGCCGTGGAACTCCCTGTGGAATAGACCTCCAGATCTTCAGAGGTCCTTGTCAAATAATTTTTGTTGTTGTTATGTGCCGTCGAGTTGACTGTGACTCACAGTGATCATGCTTATCTCTGGTTTTCAGTCTAAGAACAGCACTAGGCATGATCAGCCATAGCCTGAGCCCTTTGGGGAAGGCTCATCAATGAGTTCAGGGGAAGGGTCCTTAACCAGGCAAGAGGTAATAAGAGGACACTTGTATGAACTGACACACAGGAAAGAACTCTTGAAACATTAGCTAAAATGATAATTTGACCTTCATTTTTAAGCAGGCTCAGGCATCTTACATACAGAGAGTAGAGGAAGAAGGGCATTCCAGGCAGAAAGAAAGGTTAGTGAAGAAAAGGTTAGTGCTAGGAACCAACAGGGTTCGTGGACCAATTCTGTTGGCCAGTGTGGTCTTCGGGGCTATTCTCTGCTGCCACCAGAATGTCAGGCCAAGCAGCATTGTTTTATTCTATGATTGCATGTGGATGACCCAGGGTGACACCACCCCTTGGTTCCCCAAGTTGTGTGCATGTCCTTGTGGCACACAGTCCCCTAAACTGTGGTCTTTGGCCTATTCCAGGCCCTGTGATCTCCTTGACACTGCCAGGGGACTCATCTCTGTGCCTCCAACCCAGGTTCATGCATAAAACATCGGGATTTGTTTCATAAGTGATATAAAAAATTCCCAGAGCATAGTATTCTAATGAAATATTTTAGAAACTCTTTTCTGACCACAAGTCCATCAGCAAGCAACAGACCTTGCGTATGCTCCTCCTGGGTTCCAGGCTGTGTGCCCGGGTAGGGGATGATGCCAGCATGGTAGGAGCAGTAGAGGAGAGCAGGTGTGAACTCTGTGCAGACGAGGCTGGCTTTGTTCACTTCCCAATTTTCAGTGAGAGGCAGTCTGGCACAAAAGGTGGCGCTCAAGAAGTATTCTCTGAAT